TAGTTTTGTCTGGCTGCATGATCTAGTGGTTGAAATTATCCATAGACTTGTACACTTCTTCAGGTTGGAAGTAACCTTTGGAAGTCAGGTCCAACACACTGCTCAAAGCAAGGCCAACATCAAAGCTAGATCATGGCCCTCTCCAGGCCAGTTATGAGCACCTTCAGGGATGGAGTTTCCCCCACCTCTCTGGGGTACTGTCCCTGTACTTGATCACCTCCATGATAAAAAATATTTTCGTAATACTTCATTGCAATTTCCCACATTGCAGTTTGTGTTCATTGCCCTTCATCCTTTCACTATGTCTCTCAGAAAAGTGTGGTTCCATCTTCTTTACAATCCCATTAGGCTGTCGAAGATCATTTTGATCTAGTATCGCCAGCCAGGCCTTCCCTCTCCGAGGCTGAAAAAACCCATTGCTCAGCCTCTCCTTGTACGTCCTGTGAACCAGCCCGCTAACCACTGTGCTCACACTCTCCTTGATCCACTCCAGTTTGCCTTGTACTGGAGGGGCAATGGTACTCCACATGCAGGCACACCTGTGCTGGAGAGAGGAGCAGTACGTCACTGAACCCACTGACTGTGTCCTTGCTAACGCAGCTCAGTCTGTGGCCAACCTTCATGGCCACAAGTACGTGCTTCCTTGGCCTGTGCCATGTAGAGGTCCCCCCAACTCTTATTCTGCTGGTCAGGCTGTGTTTGGAGCTGGGTGACACAACTGGCACTGAGGAGTTAAGGCAATTGTTTGCACCCAAGGACCTGCCCCCCCAGGCTGTTGCCTTAGTCTTTGACACTTGCCATCCCGATATTGACACCACGATTCTCTTACTCAACTACAGTTCTGGAGTTTTTCTGCTCTGAGTGCTCATTCCCACCGGGGCCATACTTTTCACCCACTGTTGTGGTGCAGCTGGCACAGCGATGTGGCACAAGTCCTGTGGGAGTGCTTCCTGCTTTACGGGACACAGAAGCACGATGAGAAAGGCAGAAGCAGTACAAGGCATGGCTTTGTTTTCAAATGTTACCAGCTAAGGGCCCTCAGGCAGACTGGCAGCTCTCCAGGGGTGGGATTTTTTTTTACACATCCATGGATACCAGTCTCGCCTCAGGAAGCAGAGCCAGGCTGCTGAAGCGTTGACCTCATTCCTTTCTGCATTTACCTCATTCTCTTCTGCTGGAGGAAGACAGCTCTTCACATGAATAACATCTATCTGCCTGGCTAGAAAAAAAGCCATGGGTTTTAGGGAGAGAAAACTATGCAGTTTCTTGTAGGGAGGAACCACAAGGAGCGTTTCACATTGTTCAGTGGGTTGGGTCACCTCCTGCGAAGGCCTTCAGTTATCTTTCCAAGTGACGCCCAATGCTTCCTTCATTACCAAAGAGCTCTTCTGTTCGCATCCTGGGTCCACATGCTGGGCTTTGGCTGCCCCTGAGAGCCCTTGGCATTTCTCACATGCTGGCAATTGTTCTTGATGCCTTTGAGGGAGAAGTCCCAATTCTCACAAAAATATGGTACAGTGATCAGAGATTAGCATCTGGAACTGACCAGGGCCAGACAATGCTTTGAGTGACTTCTTCGCCTGTCTTTTCCTCCCCACCCCTTCCCCCATGGTGTTTTTCTTCCTTTCTTTTCCAGCCCTGTACAATTCCCCACTAGGCAGGGCCCCGGCATCCCTCTGCCCTGAAGAGACTTGGACCAGAGGCGATGCAGGCACAAGCTGTGCATATTTTCTCTCTGTGGGGATCCTCCCTCTCCTCCATCCTGTGCCCTCAAGGATCGCTCCAACAAGAAGGCAGGGTTGGTGCAATATCCCTCAGAGCCTCTGAAGGGACACAGCATTCTCCAAGCTGGCGCCAAGGGCTTGGTGAACATATGCAGATGTGGCTTTGCCAGCAAGGGGGGCATGGCAGGAGAGCTGATGGAGGCAAAGACCCGTCCCTCTCCCATTAGCACCACCTGGACCTGTACAATGTCCCCTGTCACACAGCGCAGTCACAAAGCTCTACAGCTGTTTCGATGGAGATGGGGTTTACCTCCAAGCAGGCATGCTGCTTCTCCTGTGGTGGCACAGCAGGACCACTGTGTCACGGGGACAGCAGGGAAGGGGGCAAGGAAAGGGGAGGATGGCCCATCGGTCAGGGCACTGCCAGGGTCTTGGAGAGAGGATCTGGATGGGAAGTGGCTTTCCTGACCCACATGGCTTTAGTTGCCTCTCTAATCCCACCCCCTCTTAGATAAACAAAGAGCAAAAATAGTATCATCTCTGCGCATGGGGCAAAGGATGGAAATGTGTTAATCAGATCACCTCATACAGTACAGAGGACTTACCCAGACCTCAAAGTGAAGGGAACAGACTGCATATCATTGTACTTCATGTGTTTTCCTGTTGTGTCCTACTGCTGACTCCACCTTGGCTGGTTTAGCTTCAGAGAAGATTTACACTTGAGGGGAGCAGAGCACAGTGCCCTCCACCCCTGTCCCCAGCACCCCTCAGCTCCTCCCTAGCTGAGGCTGCAGAAAAAACAATGGCCTCAGCTCTTCACCCATGCTGACATCCCTGAATGGGATGTCCCACCCCAAGGGTATTTCCAGCAGGGAATGAAGGAACCACATCTCTGCAGACGAACAAAGCAAACCCCTGTGGTCTCTGAAGGTGAACATGCAGAATGTACTGGCTGTGGGGAGGGAACATCCATCTTTGAGCAGTAGGCCCAACTATGACTGGTGAAACCAGGCCCTGCTCTTTAGAGTCAGTGGCACAAGCCCCACTCACATGTGCTGAAGACTGGGCTCTGACTTTGATTCAATAAAAGAAAAAAATACATTTGATCATTGGATGCTTCCTCTAGAATTATAAAAAGTCACTGAATAATTTAGTTTGGAATGGATCTCTGAAGTTCTCACATTCAATCTGTTGTCCACAAGGACCCCCAAGTTTGCTTCTGCAAAGCTGCTCTCTCAACAGTCACCCCAGCCTGTATAGCTGCAAAGGGCTATTCCATCCCACGTGTGGGATTTCTCACTTCCATTTGCTGAACTGCAGGAGGTTCCTGACAGCTCATTTCTCCAGGCCATAAAAGTCCCTCTGATGAGCAGGTCTGCCCTCCAGCACATCAACCACTTCCCAGTTCCAGTTTTGTATCAGCCGCAAGCTTGCTGATGGTGCACTCCATCCACTCACTCCATCCCATCGTCCAGGTCATTAGACAGTACTGGCTCCTGGAGGTTGCAGTTGCAACCATCTGTCATTTGGTTGTTGCACTATTTTTGATCACAACCCTTTGAGCTTTACAACACAGTTAATTTCATATCCACTTTAAAGTCCAACTATCCAAGCCATATTCCACCAGCCTGGCTACAAGCACACAGTGGGAGACCACACCAAGCACCTTACAAAAGCCAAAGTAAATGACATCAACTTTTCTCCCCTTGTGCACCAAGCGAGTCATCTCAACAGAGAACATGATCAGGCTGGCCAGGCATAATTTGCCCTTGGTAACTCCATGCCAGCTGCTAACTACCTTCAAAAGGGAACACCACGATCACATGCTTCCAGTCCCTTTGAAAAAGCTGACACCTACTCCTCTCCCAAGGAAGACTTTTTGAAAGCTTTGTCACTTTTTCAGGTTACTTGACACAGATTACCAGAAAGGATGAAATAAAAATGGAACCATGTATCATAGGTTTATTAGGGAAAAAAGTTATACTTCAAGACCATATATTCGGCACTGTACTGAAGCAGAAGTATGTGAAAACAATTAAAATGTTAAAACCCAAATCACCATGAAAAATAAAAATGCTCTTTTAATCACTTATTCCCTTTTTTGTCCCCATACAATTTACAATAACTACAGGAAGCAACTGATAAGGTATTAGTCCTACACTACATGTAAGATGGAATGAGAGTGAGAGATGGACCACAGATCGGATCCACCCCCCCAGGTATGCTGCTCCTCTCCCAGGCTGTCAGAATGGTGGAGTCTTACTAACACGAGCAAAGGCTGTTGAGACGTTACCATGCAACAGTTAGACCAAGTTACTGAGTAAACCATTAATGCTAGATTTCCCAGAAGGACTACTAAAATCCTACATTATTGCAAACTTCCAAATACCTGCTAAAAAAATAATGATTACACCTTTCAACCATGTCAGCTTTTGCCTTCTGGTCTGGATGGAAGAGATTTTGTTAGTATTTTAAATAAACTGTATCCCACTTTGTCCCCAGGACGGATCAAAGTCAAAGGAGTTTCCTGCTAATTGACTCTTGTATTGGTGGCTTGGGCTTCTTTTTGGAGGGCAAATAAGTTAAAAGCAGTTTCTAATTTGCAAGTTACTCATCCCCTGCATCCGCACAGTGAAGTGAAAGATTCTGACGAGGAATAAATAACATACCAAATAAGATGAGAATAGACTGAAGAAAAGTTGCACTAAAACTTTCAAATAGCAAAGGACAGAAAGCTTAACTGATGCTGATAAAACTGCTGAATATGTGTTTTTGCTGGACTATACAGTGCCATTCTAACATGAATTGAGGGGTAGTTTCCCATTGAACATCCAGTCCAAAGGCAGCCAAGGAAGTGGGACACAGGTCTTTGACCAATATTTCAAATGTTAGACCAACAGTACTCACAAGAAGAATACAGCTCTTTCCTTGGTTAATATATTGTGCATAGCAGTATCTCAAAGAATTAACAGCACCTTTTACATAAAAATTCCAAACATATTTATCTAGTGAACAAGAAAAACTCAGCATCTCTAAGCAGTACTTCTGCAGATGTACAGTACTGTATATAGATATAGATATAGATACCTCAAAGTGAATTTACACTGTGACGCGGTGATTAGTCCAGCAGTGGGCAAACCCACAGGGTAAGTCTTCAGGAGCATATATTGCCTTTGGTGGGCGGCCGATTACATGGCATGATTGCATAGGAGAGCCCCATCGGGCAGCAAAGGACAGTTTAGCATCCCATTAAGCAAGCACAGCATGCTTAGGTCGTTCCTGCAAGATATAAGAAACTTCCAAATTTTCATGGCTAATACAGTTCTAGTTTTCACAGGTCACGCACATTGCAACCATCCCTCTGTGCCTTAAAGACCCAGAGGAAGAAGGTAGGAGACCAAACTTATATCTTGTCCCTGCTTCCAAGCAGAAATCAAGCAGCACCACAGATTTAGGCTGGTAAAGTGGGGACCATGTTTGACTTCACGGGAGTTTCTTGAGCAGCTGGTCTTCACTGGTTTGCCTCATTTCTCTTTTTTTTTTTTTTTTTTCTTTTCCAAATCAGTTGCTCACAGTCCGCTGGTGGAAATCTTTTGAAAAGCACGGTCAGCCTGCCCTGCCTAAGACAGGAAAGCAGACTGCTACCATTTCCCTGGGATAGGCACGCCACACTCATACCAGCCCACGTAGTAGTAGGGTGTTGTGTACCCAATGCGTCCAAAAGATACAGGCTCCTGGCGGTACTGGCGGTAATACCCTGTCAGGAGAAAAACGCCCATTAGCATTTCAAAACAGAGACTTAATAATTTAACAAAAGTAACAGGCAGCAAGAGTCAATCCCACAGCCCAAATGAAAACTTAGAAGCTGTCTGGTAGGGAGTTTTGTCAAAAGGGTATTTGCCAGCCCTGGTATTTGCTTTAGATCTTTCTTGAATGATTTCACTCTGATCCTTCATATTTCTTGTAGTTTTGATTGGTTTTACTGTCCAAAATCTCCTGAACTATTGTGTAATACTGCAGTCTGCCAAAGCGCTTCTGCATTTCACTGCAAAAGGTGGCTATATTTCAGCTGTGTTTATGAAGTTTGCAAGTCAGTTTAAATATATGAAGGACTCTGGGGCAAAAAATACCGTCAAATCCTGTATCTCATAGGGCTCAAGAGACTATCAACAAACATCAGCTTTTCACAAAACAAAAAAGTATCATTTCATGCAGTAAGTGTGGAGTTAAGCCCTTTCTCCTTCCGATAGCCTTTTTCTTCATCTGCAGAAAGGCTGTGACTGCTTAAAGCATTAGGAGAGGTGCAGCATTCTTCTCCACATAGCTCGTGCACTGGAACATCTGAAACACTCATGTCTTGTGCCAATAATATAATTTCTGTGTGCTCTCTATCTCTGTCTCCTAGACCTAGTAATACACATCTGGATTAATCATCCCTCTTTTGAACTGAGAAAAGCAGTACTTCCCAGTGATATATATCAGGGGCTATTTCAGTTTCTTCCTGGTAACACCACCATGAAAAGAATATCAACAAACAACTTAACATGGAAACCATTAAAGCCAATGGAATAATTTAAATCAACTGACTTATTGAAAAGATTGGCTGACTTTCATGACTGGGTTTGTTTTGTGGAGAAAGCCATCACCCTCTTGGCTATGTGGGCTGAGCAGTTTACTCAGAGGAACTCCTTCAAGGTGAGAATTTTCACTCGGAGGGAGATATCCACCAGGCCAGAATAAATGTCCTGCAATCCTACCTTTAATCACTAGACTCCTATGTGTTTTGCATTGAATGACCCAGTCAGAAACCATTTGCAAAAACCGTATTTGCAAAGATGCAGCTGGCCCTTTGTGGAAGAGTTTGCACCTCTGTTCAATGAGGCACATCATATAATTGGGAGAAAGGTTTCATAGACCTTTATTCTTTCTGGTTTTGCATTTTGTTCCTGTAAATTGTCCACATCATATGCTCCTCTCTTTCTTTCTTTCTGTCTCTTTCTCTCTCTCTCAACACCCACAAGTCCTTCTGGGACTTTCATAACCTGTTCAGCTGGGCCTGAGTACAAGACCATCTCATCACCTATTGCATCAGCAGGAGTCCTGAGAGAGCAGCCAGCTGCCATGGACAAAAGAGCCTCACTCTGTGCCCTGCTCCGTACTCCTTAAACCTACAGATGGGACAACAGGCATCTGGCCAGTACCCAACTCCCACATTGTCATACCTCGGATGGTGGGCAGGGCTTCAATGTACGACTGAGGTCCCGTTCTTCCGTCCAGGTGTGAATCCACAAACTGGCAGTGGTCCTCGCCCCTTCCCCAGCTATCCCCAATGCTATAGAAGGTGTCTGAAGGGTGATACAGACAGATTATTTGACTCCGCATTATTTTTGTTTGGGATGCTCTTTACAACCAGGAAAACAGATGTGGGAGAAAGGAGAAGTACTACAGTGACAAACATAGTATTACCAATGAACAAACGATGGCTGCGAAGAGGGAGAACACCACCTTCACACTATGGAAGAACATACTATGGAAAAGAGTAATGCGTTATAGCTCGGTAAGGAATATTCCCCATTTTGCAAGTCCGTGGACACTGCACCACAGATAACAGGTGGAGGGAATTTCAACTGAACCAGTCATTTCAATATGGCATGAGAAAGTAAAAACCACTCAATTTGTCAATACCATCAGTTTGACTGCAGTCTCAAAAGAAAACTAAAAACTGTGGAGCTCTCTCTCTAGCAGATGAGGTGGGTCCTGCCACCCTGGTTGTTTCTTATCGTATATTCAAACACTGCCTTTAAACTATACAAAGGCATTGCAATAAAAATAACACATCAGCATAACCTGAAAAGCCATTGAGATAATCCGAGTACCCCAGATCAACAATATGGAAAGTTTTCTTCGTTAACTCTCATCAAATACACCCGTGTAAGAGCTACTGTTAACCCCTGGGAGTACTGCTCACCCAGTCACTGTAATACCAGCCTTTCCTCCCCCACCCCGTTCCCCATCTCCATCTGCCCTGGGGCTTTTGAGGATGTATTGCTCTGTCTGATGCTGTGCAGCTGGGGCTCACACACCCACGGAGCAAGCGTGGGACTTCCCAGGGAGACGTGTGGGCAGCAGAACTTTGTCCTCACAGTACAAAGCACATTGCTTTCTCAGGATACAAAACCACACAGGCTTTTCAAGGGAAACTTCCTCCTGTCCTCTGTCTAAAGATCTCTGCTTTAAAGCTAATGCCAGGGTGTGAATGTAACGTGAAAGCAGGGCAGCTCAGCTATCACATCCCACCTTCTCCCACCTTATAGCAGCCTTCCAGTACCTAAAGGGGGCCTACAGGAGAGCTGGGGAAAGACTTTTTACAAGGGCATGTAGTGATAGGACAAGGGGAAACAGCTTCAAACTGGAATAAGGTAGATTTAGATTAGATATTAGGAAGAACTTTTTCACTTTGAGGGTGGTGAGGCACTGGAACAGGCCACCCAGAGAAGCTGTGGAAGCTCCATCCCTGGAGGTGTTCAAGGCCAGGCTGGATGGGGCTTTGAGCAACCTGGTCTAGTGGGGGGTGTCCCTGCCTATGGCGGGGGGGGGTGGAACTAGATGATCTTCAAGGTCCCTTCCAACCTAATCCATTCTATGATTCTATGATTCTTGAGAGAAGGACTCCCAGATAGCCGTCACACAATTCCTTCACAGACAAGGTGAAAAAAGCGAGAAGATGGGAGATGACAAGTAATCATGTATCAGGACATTAATCTCGGTGCCTACCTTTCAGGTCATCGCTGAGGTAAATCTTGTACCTTAAGGAGTTGCAAAGAACCACTCCTACAAACTTGCGGTACCAAGTTCGTTTCACATACTGCTTGCCACTGCAGTCTGAATAGGTGGGGTCATATTTAAAAGTGAAGGGGATCCAGATAGGCTCACCACCTTGGAGAAGAAAAAAAATAATCAACATTAAGGACAGACTTCAGCATTTCAGTCTGACTTTTGCTGAGGTTAACATCTGATAATATGTTTTACAAGACATGCTGCTGCAGATTAATCCAGAAATACTACTTCAAGAACAAATATATATAAAAAAAAAAAATTTAAAGCAAGGGACTTGATTAAATCCCTTCTATGTAGTAGACAACACTAACAGTTAAGATGATAAAAAACATGATTTCATGTACTGAACCACAGTTTTAAGTAAACAAATAGTCTCTGTTTTTAGTAAGACATCTTCTCTACCTAGGGATACTCATTTTGTTTTCTAAACAAAGCCTGATCCTAGGTCTGACAGTGACACTGTCTAAATAGTCACTTGCATTTTAACACTAAGTACAAGACTTAAACCTTTTGCTAAAAGACAGATGTTAAAAATTCAGTGGTGAGTTAACAGCCTGTGATGTGAATTAAAGTCTATTCTTGCTATTTAGTTAAAAAGATCAAATCAGAAACGTACTTTTCTGTTGTGTTTTCCCACACTACATCAAAACAGATGAGGTTTCAACAACAGACAAGCGAGACCTTTCTTGGGGAATTCTGTCCAGAGCGCCGCTGCAGAGGAGACTGCTAAACTATATCTCAAAAGACTAAATATTCCTACTGGCTTGTCTAAACGTTTGCTTTATGCTTATACTAAACAAGTATATTTTGAAATTGCTGTTTTAGCAATGTATATATAATTACACAAAAAGCTTCCAATGTGATAACTGACATTTTTGTCTCTACCTACAGCACAAAGCCCTGTTTTCACTGTGCTATTTTGAGGTGGTTTACACATGAGATTGAGAGTTTTTTCTGTTAGTCATTCTTTCTCCCTGTCACCAGGCATATGGACCAAATCCTGCAAACACCTGCATGTGAGAAGCAATCACCGATCAGCAATCCCCAAAACACCACCAGTATGGACACAAACGCAACTGGACTGACTTTACGCAATTAGTCATGCAGTGAAACAATTGCAAGATTTTGGCTTTAGAATACAGCAATAAACTATCTATTTCTTGAATGCAGTTTTATTGCTGTGAATGGTCTGCTTTTGTCCATCATTTCTGCCCACCTCCGAAAATTATGAAGGATAAACTTAACACATCATGCGAGAGCCGCGCTGGATGTTCAGAAGCTCTTAATTTCCACAGGTTCCCAGAGCTCTGCCACCTCTTTTTGGTCTATCTTATCCACACCACTGCAGCTACACAAAAATATTTTCTCTTTGTCCAGTCAATGCAGAAACTACGAGTGCAAAAGCCATCACCTTCCCAAACCTCCTTCCCATGATCACACCCACAAAATAACTAACAGCAAAAAACTTCAAGGTGACCAGTGACACAGGAAGGCCACTGCTCTCAGAGGCCTCCCACACTGACTGCCAGAGACACAGCGTGCTTGTGCTTTCTGAATTCTGTGCATCATCAGAGACATCTGAGAGGACATGGAAAAAACAGACTAACAAGCATAATAAAGCATAGAAGGGAGGGAAACACTGGACATTGTTTTCATGAACAATGTAGTCAAAAAGCCCCAATACCAACCATTTGAACTCCTTAGGAAAGCTGACAGAACAGAGGGTTTTTTTCCTGCTTCTCTCCCCAAAGCATGCGCTGTCTGGGCTTACCCTACCAATGTACATGCCAGCAAGGTGGGTCCCAGCACCAGGACATCTGCTCTTCTGACGAGGGGCTGAACCGACTTATTGCAAAGTCAGTAGGCTTGGAAATGCAAAGCAGGCTCAACAGCTTCATGGCACATCCCTGTCATCCAGGTCAGCCACAAATCCTTGAATATTTTTTTTTATTATTTATAAGGGCGTGATGATCAGTATAGATGAGCCCAACAAGTAGAGACAGGAAAGACTGATCCCACTGTCACAGCTCAGGTAACTAAGGGACACAGATGCAGGAGCAAAACAGTTCAGCGCTTATTACTAAGCAATTAAAGCCGTTCTACCAGGTAAAAGAGAGGCCAAAATCACATGCTTAATCTAACACTTCTTTACAAGGTTTCTTTTCAAAGACCAGAATAAGGGATCTTAAGACCAAAAACGTTTTTTGAATTAGCACAACGAATTACTGCCTGTTCTTACTTAAAACTGTAACTCAAACTGCCTGTTAATATACTTTTAACACCTATATTATAGCTGTTTTCCACAGGGTCTATGCACGTCATGAAAGAAACATCAGAATAAGACTTACCAGGTGGTCTGACAATCAGGAGGGGATTGTCTAGAAAAACAAAAAAATAGGAAAAAAATTAATATTTTGTTGCAAACCTTGTTTTATAGTATGAAAGACAGAGTGTCACTCAAGAAAATGTCAGTTGCAGAGAAACTACCTTTAGCTACATTATGAATGTGGGATTTACATGTCTTGTCGATTTGCAGAGCTAATGAGTATTTGTTATTCCACTGTTTTTCTCCGTTGGTGAAACTTGCCACAGGATTGTATATTTATTCTGATACTGCAAAAAAATCTATTAAGAATAGTATCAAAGTTCAAAGCCCACTTTGAAAAAGATTTCCTCCTCTCGGAAGGTCCTCAGAGCAGGACAGTTTCCCCGTATGCTTCTGAATATATAGTGTCAGTTACACCTGCAGGCATAACTTCCAATGGGAAATGTAACCTACTTCTTGTATGCAAATCTCAGTCTCAGACATCCATTGTGTTTAGTACAGTTGTTTAGTGGTATTCATTAACAAGTGAAATGCGTATTTTTAATTCTCTTTGCCACAGTGACAGGATTTTTGCAGAAGGCCCCTGGGGAGTGCAGGGACCACTGTCCGCTACCTCAGGAGCTTCTGCTCACTTGAAATACTCTCTTTTTTAAAGAAAGAAGGATGGAATAGGCGCGGAGTAAGGACAACAAACCAACATGATCTAACGCATTACCTTGTCTGTATGCATTATGTTGCAGTTTCTGTCACCTCTTAACTAGCCCTTATTGTGCACAAAATACCTGAAGAAAAAGCACAGCACTTGTCTGCTGGTGGGGAAGAAAAACTCCAGGGAGTTTTTCCAGTTTGATGAGAGGGAACAACGGTTTTGTGTTCTCTTCAGTGGGTTACCAGGGGTAAGACTGAACGTTTTCAATAAGCTGCTTGATTCTACGATGGCATTCTTTATTGAATATTCTCATCAACTGAAATCTTTCAATTGGACTAGAAGAGCACTCTGAACAAACAATTTCTGTCTCTTCTGACCTACTCCATCACTGTAACTATACCATCTGGCTTTAGATTCCGCAACTGCTTTTGTTCTTGTGCCAGCTGGAAAGTCACCTTTGGCCACATGACAAACGAGAGATCAGTGCTGCAAATAAAACTTTAAATCTGGTGGATTTAACCGGTTAAATAAAGCTCACAAGGTAGCTGATTTTGGATAGGAAAACTAGGCATTCAGGCTCATATACTGGCAGCCAGCTAATCAGCAAAACTCTGCAAGATACAGCATCCCGCATTTGTCCAGTGTTAAACATTATGCTTGGATTTATACTTGAGCTTCTTACTACTTTAAAAGAAATCTGAGTATGTTATGCAGGACTGTTTACTTATCTTGCATCTTTCTCTCCCTTCTCCCTTCTGTGAAGACTTATTTCCATGGTTCTTAATGGAGCTTCTGAAGCTAGCACTACAAGTTGAAGTCAAACGAGCAAAGGCAGAGATTGCGTAAACCCCATGTTGTCAAAAGGGTAAAATTTGCAAGAGACAACAGACCTTTCGCTCAACTAAAGACTGAATAATTTCCCTTTTATTATTCAGTGGAGTCATTGGCCTCTGGCTCAATGGAAGAAGAAATGGGTAAAAATAGCTCATTTAATGTACTATTTTTAGAAGGGGGTTGCTCTTGAACACGCTATTAGCCCTGTGAAAGAGCAGCATGCCTTGTCAAAAAAAGAACACAGAACTCTGCCTGTCTGACGGAACAATTGTTTCCTATATTTCTTCCAGAGACAACCGCTTCCAACTGTTCAGCTGTTCACAATTAGGAAGCTAATTTACTAAATGTTTGGTCAATCTATCAAAGACATTAAACTTCCCATTGCTTCCGTGTTGTTAAACATTAGTAGTCTTTTGTATTTTAAATTCAACTTCCTGTTCCCCTGAAGCTCACTTTAATGTGACTTATATTGTCATAATGGCATTAAGAGTGCATATTATTTTCCTAGCTTTACTGAAAGCAAATAATTAACCTAAAAGTAAATATCTCAGAACTAGCAAGTTCAGGGTAATCACCATTATTACCGTGCTGGTTTCAGTCATTGACCTGCTACATCTGTTACTAGGAATTCAGTTTTGAGATGAAAATAAAAGCCAAAGCGTACCAGATTCTGTGATAAATGAGACTGAAGAGCTAACAGGTCCATAACCAAAGGGATTCTTTGCTTGGACTTTAAAATAATACCTGAAACAAAAAGAGAGGGAAAATAAGATTAAAACATTGATTCCACTACAATTGCTTTATTATAAATAATACTAAAACAGGGTGAGAGTCAAACCAGCAGAATTCTGTTGAGTCCAGGTGTCCTTTGCATTAAATGGAGTTGGATACTCAGCCAGGGTATGAGCTCGCTGGTACAAACAAATTTCTCCTTTTTGCAATTGCTCACGTGCATATTTTTGGATCATTTATTTTTATCACCCCCGTTCCAAAAAATACACATAACTACATCCACTTTATATGAAGCAACCAATAGCAATAGACTAAAAGGAAAAGTTGCAAGGAAATTAAATTCTGGTCTCAGGATCAGTTTTAAACCAGATTAACCACAAAAGCAGTGGTGTGAACTGCAAACTAAAACTAGATCAGATTTATAGGAGAACAGAAGCTAATATTTTGACCTTTCTGTAAAAACTCCAGCAGCATTAAGATCACAATACTTCAGTAATACGAGAAAGTTTCACATTGCCTTATTGATTCCCCAAAGTATTTAAATCACATGCTTAACGCAAAGCACATGACTCACCACTGGAACTCCATTCTCTGATAGAAGGAAAATTATCCTCACTCTTAGAGAAGAATATGTGTAAGCACATTTTTATTTCATTTCCAAATACAATAATTTTTATTTAATGCCCAGCCTGACATTTTTTTCCCCAGATTAATGTTTTCATCTTTCACTTTTTTCTCTGTATCCAGTCCAGCAGAAACCAATTAGAATGGAAGATTACTGTAAAAAGTTCCAGCACAGCATTTTTGAAGTGCCTGAGTTTAGGTTTTCCCTTCTTGCCTGCTTGCTCAATTTCATTCTTGTAAAGAAATTAATAAAAAAATGCCTGCGCCTCTGTGATACCCACATAGCATTTGGATCTTGATTTAGCCTCTCATCCAAAAGCAGACATTTCCAAAAGCGCCATACACGGCCCACATAACAGGGCAAGTGCTTACTCGTGGGGACAGGTGCCACTGAGTGCTGAATTACCTCCCATAGCCATGTCCCACCTGAGTGGCAGGCCTGATGCTCCTGGTGAAAGTGAGCCTGCGCCATTAAAAACATTAGGCTGCTCTTGAAGGCAAAGCTCTCCCCATCCTGCACAGGAACCTGCCAGGGCTGCTCCGCTTGCACAGCTGAGAGTGTGGCTCATGGCAAACATGCTGTGACATCCCCTGGAAGCTATTGTCACCTGGCACAGTTTATGCACCAAGCGTGGACACTGTCCACAGTACAAACTTCACTCCTTTTCCTTTCCTTCTGTCCACAATAAATGACAGTAGCCTTTGCAACGTAAGAGTGTAATGTGTTCTAATGCCATGTAAGATGCTCGCACTTTACAGCCTACCAGGCAGCAGGAAATTCAACACAATCCTGGTGCAGGATCTTTCCTATTTTTAGTCTGCCACTCAATTTTTACCGTGTGCGCTCCCCTGTACCATGAGATGTATCTGTTCCTCAAGGACTTAACCACAGAGCAGGGCTTGGAGGTTGCTCCTGAAAGGAACCTCTCTGGCCTAAGCACCAGCAAAGCACATATGAAACTATTCACACTGAGAAACCAGAGGTGACCCAGTTGAACCAGGCCTTTGGCCAAGGTGAATCTCTTTTTTCATTAAAAAGAATACATTTTTTTCATGCAAAGTGAACTGCTTCACCTCAAAATCAAACTGATCCCTAAGAAAAGACTGAAAAGATGTGCAAATAACACCCACTTCTTCAGCATAAGGGTGGCACTCATGTGAACACAGGATTTTGCTGTGAAGCAAGGTCCAGCGTATGTGCCAGGTCACCTTCTTGTTCACTCTGTGAAAATTACAAGCAGGTCTTCTAGGAAATATCAATGTGGAAGCTCCAGGAACTGAAATATTCTGGGCTGCATCCGTGGCACAAGCTTTACCTCGTATCTGCGCCAGACCTGGAGCACACGCATGGCCAGACCCTCTGCGGGACACGTTCCCACCCCTGCATGGGGGACATGCCCCCTGTCCCTGCTGCCTCCCACAGCTGACGCCAGAAACCGGCTCCACTCCTGCTTTCTGCAGCCAATTTTGCCTGTAATGAACGACGATAGGATGCTCACAAAGGACCCGCAACTTTCTTTTAAAAGACACCATGGCAAAAAGACATTGTGTTAAATAGTGAAATTCAGCAAAGCTGTGTCTTTTGCTCACTCCTAGCACAAGCCTTACGCTGGCAGAAATATTTGCCAGGGGTTTTAACTATTGCCCTTGATTTCTCGACCGCAGCTTGTGAGTGTTTAGCATGGCTGGAGAAACAGGAGAGGGGAGGTGAAAAGCCTCCCGTGTGCTCCTCTGCTGTGGCCACCTGAGCAAACACGGCAGCCTGAGCACCGCTCTAATCCCCTGAGTTGCCAATGCTCTCACGGGACACCTGCATCCATCCATACCTCCTTCACCTACTCGTACCTTCCCCACTCGGGTTGGGGCAGGGGCCGGCAGCACAAGGCTGAGCAGAGGGACAGGACGGAGGGCAGTGATTCCTCACGCTGGCTCCCGAACCGGCTGCAATGCAGCACCAATCTGCGCTGGCTTACCCCTGCACTTGGTGTAACTACTTCAGAAGAGCAGGAGAAAAATGTTTTCCAGCCTGCATCTTTCCCAAAATGCTTCAACGCATGGTGAAAACATCTGTACAGACGCCCGACTTCCACACGCTTCCACAGAGGCATAATTAGATACCACCTTTGCAACACAGTGGCACCTTCTGAGCAACCCTTTAAATGCACTTAATATGTGTGTATTAATGCTAGCTCCAAAACATTCCCATGAGAAAACGAAGTGCCATGATCCACATCTGAAATGGCAGAGAGCAGCCCAAGAACCTTGTGCTCAAAACACATCTATTTAAGTGGGGAAAAGCATGCGGTTTTGTATCTAATGCGTAATGCAGGAACTGATTACCTATGCAATCAGGGCAACTGAGCATTCAGGTATCCTGTTACATACATAAAAGCCCATCTGGGACACATGATTGTTTAAGATGCCTGCTTGACTGTCTGGAAAAAGCAGCGATGAAGTTATGAGCACATTTTTCTTCGCTAAATTGGAAAATTAGTTCCTAAGCCTTTATATATACAAGAAGCCTTTAGTAGTGCCAGAAAGAGAGCCAGGTCTCATGACTTGCTGACCTGTGATTTAAATATAGATGATGCTATGATTGCCGTATTAAGAACGTCAATAAAATAATGCAGTCAGGATATATTTCTTTCTCAGACATCACAAATAAAATAGGAATTGGCAAAGCCCTCCTAGGTCCAGGCATCTGACATTTTCATTAGTCAGAATCCTTCAGCTGATGAATTTGCCAGGAAATCTCAAACCAGTATAACTCAACTGTTCTTCACCACATAAATACATGAACAAAATTTGTAATATATAAGTTGGTTGTGCTTCGATTACACTTTGCTTAGGCAGAACTGCAATGAATTGTTACCAATAGGCACCTAAAAATCACAACTGCAAGAGATGCAATACCATTTGTTGTTTATTTTCAACAGAGTCAATAAAAAAGCTTTTCCTCCTAAGAATATATCTCCTTAGAGATTTTATATATTGCTTCCACTGATATGTCAAAAAAGGACATAATAAATTGTAATGGGGCATTGGATATATAATATTTTTATTCATTTAGACTGTATGACTAATCGTATCACCACACCTGTCACTTTGAGCAAAATCATTTTATGACTTAATTCAAGGTGTCTCCCTTCTGTTCGCATTAAATAGCTGGCACTCGCAGCCACAAAGTGAGATAATCGCTCAGCACGCTAATTAGGGAAACAGCTGTTTTTAAAAAAATTCGTTAGCCATAAAATCCTTTTTCCCGCCTCTCCAAAGGCATGCCTGCATGGCTCCCCCCAGCCCTGCACCCCGTCCAGCAGCAGGCTGAGACTGGGGGACACCAGCCAGCCACGGGACGCTCAGCAGCTCTGTCCGCAGGTGCTGGCAGGGCAGGACCCATAGCACCACGACCGCCTACCAGCCACGGGGATGGGGG